CCATATTAATTTAATTTTTTGATGTTCTATAAGATACCATTAAATATTCTTTAAGAATTCTGCATGCTAGTATTTCCTTTACTATGCTATGTTCTTCAAATACCACATATTACATGAAATACTGTACTACTTAAAGTTCTAGTCAATTTTATATATTACCTTGCTTTTTTCAAAGACTTGAGAAAAAAGGAGTATTTGTAGTTCCTATTTGTAAAAATGACAATGCTTTATTTCTCTATTTTGTTTTAAATAGTGGACAGCATTAGTGAAATTATCAGCTTCGTTAAAAATGTATCCGATAACCATGTAAGTAAAAATATAGAATATAATATCCTGGTAAAACAAGAGATATTACTAACTTTTGCCTATGAATTGGCTTTTAAATGATACTTTAAAATGATGTGAGCTGTACTCCAGCATCTACACGCTTTTTTCAATTTTAGTGAAGTAAATATACCATACAGTATATATCACAAGCATACTGATTTTAGCTTAACCATGAAGCATACAATGATTTATTGCAAAGGCGACACTGTGGAATTCTCTCCTAGGAAATAAACCCAAACAAAGCAATTCCTGTCAACATGACTGAAGTGTATTATTTGTAACAAAGATGTTCTATGTTTACCAGATCTCCTCACTGGATAACTGATTGAATCATCAAAACTTGAAAACTTCTGTATGGGGAGTTGCCAAGTCTTTTGAGAGTCTGATTAAGCTATTGACAGTCTTCCCAGGTGTAATGATGACATGCGTACATAATTTAAAGTACAATTTCAGAGGGGTCAGGCACCCTTCTAAATCCACGGATGAATTCCAAGTCAAGAATCTTTTTTTCTAATTTTGCGGGGCTAGTTCGTCATGGATCAATGTCATACTTCCAATCAGATTGTCCCTGATATCTTTAATATATAACTCTCCATCAAAGCAATACTTTATGGGCTTTGTAATTTCTATTTTTTAGCAGCTTTACGTGGAACTCTCCTTTTACAGATGCAACAGTTGAGTTGGTTATTGATTGTAAAGCGTGTCCATAGATCTCTGTTCTTCTACCTTATAGGTTTTTGTCTTTTGAAAGCCTTTCTCAGATCTTTCTAAACCTTAAAATCTTATCCCAGATACAGACACCATCCCACTCCACACCCAGAACGAGAAATAAACCAGCATTTGTGCTTATCCTGAGGAATAGTCTTATATAAAATTAATAAATATATCACTAAGATTTATATTGACTACTAATTATATGACTGTATGAGAACTTCGCAAGCAAAGCAAGCGGGCAGCTGTAGATCACTGGATAAAGAGGATGTGGTGGTACGCATATGCAATGAAATTTACTTGGCCACAAGAAGAATAAAATCTTACTATCTGTGACAACATGGATGGATCTAGAGGGTTTTGTGCTAAAGGAAATGTCAGACAGAAAAAGACAAATACTATATGATTTCACTTATATGTGAAATAAAAACAAACAAACAAACAAAAAACAGAAACGAACTCATAGGGAATAAACTGAGGCTTGGCCACATGGGAGGGGCTGGGGGGTGGCTCAGTGAAAAAGGTGAACGGATTAGAAATACAAATGGGCAGTTACAGGATAGCCACGGGATGTAAAATGTAGCATACGGAACATAGTCAATAACATTTCAGTAACTATCTGTGGTGCCAGGTGGATACCAGACTTATTGAAGGGATCACTTGATAAGTTATATAAATGTCTAACCATACATTGTACACCTGAAAGTAATATAATATTAAATGCCAACTGCAATTGAAAAATAAAAAAATTTAAAAAAGAACTTCACAATTACTAATTTGCTTTTATTGAATAGAATTATTCTACACAAGATTTTGGAAAATAAAATCAGGAAATATCCATTCCTTGAAGTTATTTTCCAGAAGCCTATATCTGTATCTATATCATATACCTACATTTATATGTATATCTACATTTATATCTGCATCTATCAATCTATTAATATAATCTGATATATATACACACAACATACATACATATATATATATATAATCACACACATATGCATACATACATACACAGGGGTGGGTAAAAGTAGGTTAATAATAAATTATATACATATATATGGTATTTATGGAAAATCTGAAGATTACTCATTGGTCCCATTCTAATAATAAATATAAAAGTAGAAACCTTATTGAAAAAAGGCACTTAGAAACCCAGAGAGCTTATACACAAAAGGAAAGCCAAATATTTCTGGTAGTTAGGCACTGTTATAAATAGACTGCACAGCAGCAAATCAAATATAACATTAAATAATTTTGAAATGAAAGTAAGCATTCTGTAAAAATTATGGAGCAGAAGGTTAGCTCATTTTAGGTGGGTGTTAGAAGTAGATGTTCTTAAAATTTAATGTTTCTACTAATATTAAAATTGAAATTTTAGTTCATGATGCAAAGAACAGCATTGTAGGTTAGCAGAGTTCTCCCTTTTTTCACGAAGTAGCCAGATTGCCATAACACATCATTAATTCCCTGAGCTCAAAATTGAAGGGAAAAGTATCCGTTTAATCTCTCATAAAATAGGTTAAATTTTTCATTCTAATATTCTAACCCAGGAACAACTAAAAGCAAAACTGATCTATGGCCCCCAAACTATTTTAAACTGTAGTAAAGAGGAAGTGCTCAAAAGAATAGCAACACCCATAACAACAAAAAATAAAATGCACACACATAATTTAAAACAACCCTCCTGCCCCCAAAACAAGGCCATTTTTAAAAAGAAATTTCTTAAAAGTCAGTTGCATTTGACAGTGGAATGTTTTTTTTTTTGTTTTTTTTTCTGGGTACTTCTCACGAATGGCTGGAGAACTTTACACAATTATAGTTCAATTCTTGGCGAGAGCTCATGTCTAGTTGACTAGCTCTATCTGAGGTATTGGTCTAGAAATGGCAAGCAGTTTTTGGTTGTTTTTAAGTGGAATACAGTGTTTGGAGCACAAGTCAGTTACACAATGAGTCTCCCTGCTCACCGTCTAGTGCGTTGTGGCATCACTACGTAGCTGTGGCTGATGCCCAGGTAACAGTTCCCACCTGAACAGCTGCGTACATATTCACATCCGATTTCATTCACAGTTGACAACTTTTCAGAAAATATTTGGTTTGTGGTGCATAAAAAAAATGTTTCTTTTCAATAATTGATTTTACGTGTTTTTAAAATTTTGCCTGTAGGGGTGAAAAGTTTGGTCAACTGATAAAGCAAAACATGAAAAAACTGGATAAGAACCCACTATAAAATATTCTAAAGGATTAAAGTCCTTGGAAAATTGATGGTTTCATGTTTTTCATTTTAAAACTTTACTGAAGATGGTTACCATAAAAAATAATGTATATATTTCAATGGACATACATTGACCACATTTATAAACACGAGGGTAGGAAGAAAGACTAAGGAAATGCACACAGAGTAGTATAAATTGTAACACATTATAAGGTGACCCCATTAAACTATGTGTGTTTCAAGGGAGAATTAGTGGGTACCAATGTAATTATTTCAAAGTAAAAGAGGAACATGCAATAAATATCAAAGTGAAAAGAACTACTCTTTAGGATAAATGCTTTTAAAAAGGTAATTCACCTTTCTTTCTATTTCCTTCTTCTACTTCAGTCCCACACTTGTCCCCAGTGTTCAAAAAGCCAACGCTCTAATGTTTCTCAAACCTTCAGGTTATAACTGTTAAGTGGCTTTTATCTTTTGCCTTAATAAGAAAGTGGTAAAATGGGATCCCCGAGTTTTATATTATAGTTTTGCATTTCAAACTTCTTTGCCCATTATGAAAAAGAAGAGAACCATTTTGTTGAAGTCAGCGTTTTGGAACACATTATTTTTTTGACCCTGTTTTTTCAGTGTACCCCAAAATAGCACTGTGTAGTATGTCTTGGTTTTTTTTATTTTCAATATATACAGTACTACGCTATGGCATGTCATTGCATTTCACTGGTTACATGCCTACCTCGTTTTGCTAGATTGTGAGCTGTTTAAAGACAGAATATGTCTTATTCCAACTCTTTATTATCTTGCATAATTCATGGCACGTAGTAGGTGTTCAATACATATTTATGCCATCAAAATGCTTTAGATATGCTTACAAAGAACATATCTACTATGTTTTAAATTCAGAGTGCAGTATTCTCTTTTGAGTCTTGAGTTCAGACTTGTTTTTTATTTTAAAGGCAGGAAAACAAGGAATCCAAACTTATTTCTCTGTGTTAAGCTAACATGGGCATTTAAAAAAAATAATACAACACTATGATTTTCACTAAACTAGGAAAGGTTATTTTGGAGCTGCTGGGACGTTAGATATTTGAAGTAGTAATTACTTCCTCCATAAATGTTACCTTTCAGAGTCAAATACTGCTTTCCTGTTACAGTTCAACTTTTTACTTAAAGGAAAATGTCTTTTATTCACAACTCACCATGCTATAATATGTGATTATTCTCCTTTTCATTTGTTTTGGTAGCCTTGTAAAGTCAATGAAGCATCATCATAATAAGAGTAGCTTATATTTATTCAGCATTTATTCGGTGCTAAGCATTTCACTAAGCACTTTACATGAGCTATGTCATTTAATTCCCACATAAAATTTATGATGTGTGTGATTTTATATCTATCTATCTAAGCTTAGAGAGGCAATTTTCCAACTGATATCGTATGGTCATGATAATAACACAGGAAGAGCCTTCTTCAGATTTTATATTCTTGGTTCTTTAAAGTTCTAAGTATTTATTAACACAATTAAATACCACATTTTGCATAATTCTGGAAACATGAAGTACCAGTGAAACACTTGTATTATCATATATAAAACAAACAGCACACATCGGGTTGTACTTAAATACTATCAAGTCACTGCAATAAGACCGCAAGAGTATTTCTTCTATATTGAATGGATGAAATATCAACTCTTACCTGATGATCATCAACACTTCATGTTGAAACTGACTGCTCCCATTTACAACTTACCGTAGACTTGGGTTTGGTTCCAAAATTGGCCCCTGGAGTGGAAGATGGTAGCTCAGTGGACTCGGTGTTAGAAGACAAATTTATTGGTGTCTGATTTACTGAAATGGTATCTGCTCCACTCTCAGATCCTGACTCCAGATCCTATTGAGAAAATGCATTTGTATGAAAGGCATGCACATGCTCTCTCCATGCCTTTCTCCCTGCACCTGCACCTTCCCACCTCTGCCTCCTCCTCACACACTGACACACTGACACACTGACACACTGACACACTGACACACTGACACACTGACATTGATGTGGCATCCATAACCTAACTGCTGAACCAAACCGGCCAGTGCACATATTTTGTAATAACAACTGCACTTTTCAAAGGGTCTGATTTTAGAGAGCAAATATTAGAGAAAGAGGTTAAAAACAACTTTGGTCATTTAAGAGCTGATTGTGAATAATTGGAAGGGGAGCTAGGTAGGGCATTGCAGTGAGTCAGGAGGTAGAAGCCAATAGATACCCCTTACTAACTGTGTGACCTTGAATAACTCACTTAACACCCTGCATGCAGCAGGGTCACCGTGATGTCAAATATAAAGATAGTTCTCATTTCTCATCACCTCACTCTCTTCTATGTTCCTATCAGACCTCCATCATGACACCTACCACAATGGACTAGAATTATTTAGCTCAAGTGTCTATCTAATGAACTATAAGATATTTGAGGGCAGAAATATGCTTTGTCATGTGCAATTTAATTCCCTCATTTGAAAATTGGTATAATAATAGCGTGCACTCATACAGTTTCATGAGGATTGAGCAAGATATATGCAAAGTGCATGTAACTGACACAATTTTCATTAAACATTATAAATATTGTTATTAGTAACTAGTACATATTGTGTAGATAAGATACTTGCTGAGTGAATACAAAGGCTGAGTGAATCTCTCCAAAGGCTGTGCATTTAATTGATCAACTGTTCTGTATATATTATACAGTAGCCTGAGAACATAGAGGAAAGATGGGGGTTAAGAGAATGCAGAAAGGAGGAAGTAAAGGCACTACTTATCACTCATAATTTTGATCTGAGAAAATTATGAGTTAAATATCTTTATGTCAAATCTTTCTACATATCAACTTTACCAATACCCATGTGGTCAAATATGATCTACTCTGCATCCCCATTCATTGGCTTTATGTTCTACAATTCCTTTGCTTCTTAGTATGCTCCAGCCATATTTGTTGTTTCTCAGTCCTTCTAGTACATGAGCTGGTTTCTACGGCAGGGACTATGTCCTTTCTTGTCCCTTACCCCAGCATTTCCCTTTGCTGTCTCTTTCTTATCACTCAGCTATCAGTTTGAATATCACTATCTCAGAGAAGCACCCTTTGACATTTCAAGCTAAACTATTTTCTTCCCTTAAACCTCTATAGCACATAATTCTCTATTTTACAAACTTATTAACTTGCTTATCTACCATATATCAATTATATCCATTTATTTTCTATGATCTATCTATGTATCTATCTATCATCTATGTATGTATGTATGTATGTATGTATCTATCTATCTATCATCAATTTATCTTTCTATCATCTCTTTGCACCTATCTGTCTACTTATCTGCCGTCTATCCAACTTCATCTCTTTTTCTAATCCATGTCTGTTTCCTTCTATTGGGATCTACTTATCATAAAAGCAGGTAATTTACATGTCTTGTTCACTGATACATCCTCAGATCTTAGAATTGTGCCTGCATCTAGAACATACTCATTAAATATTGTTTGATGAAAGAATAACTAGACTAACAAATAGCAATATTTAACCAAGGAGGTGAAAGATCTGTACACTGAAAACTATAAGACACTGATGAAAGAGATTTAAGACACAAATAAATGAAAAGATGCCCCATGATTTTGTATTAGAAGAATTAAAATCATGAAAATGGTCAGAGTACCCAAAGTGATCTACAGATTCAGTGCAATCTCTGTCAAGATTCCAAAAACATTTTTCATAGAAATAGGAAAAATAATTCTAAAAGTTGTTTGGAACCACAAAAGACCCTGAATAGCCAAAGTAATTTCAAGAAAGAAGAACAAAGCTGGTGGCATCACATGTCCTGATTTTAAGCCACATGACAAAGCCACAATAATTAAAGCTGTACGGTACTGGCATTTAAACAGACACATAGACCAGAGGAGCAGAATAGAGAGTCCAGAAATAAACACATGCATATATGGTCAACAAATATTTAACGAAGGAGCTAAGAATATTCAATGAGAAAAAAAAATCTTTTGAATAAATGCTTTTGGGAAAATTGGATATTCACATGTGAATGAATAAATTTGGACCCCTTCTTACTCCATTCACAAAAATTAACTCAAAATGAATTAAACACTTAAATGAAAGATCTGAAACTGTATATCTTCTAGAAGAGAACATAGCAAAAAAACTCCTTGACACTGGTCTTGGCAATAATTTTTGAATATAACACCAAAAGCACAAACAATAAAAGCAAAATCATAATGAATAAATGAATAAATAAATAAATAAATAAGACAATACCAAATTAAAAAGCTTCTGCACAGCAAAATAAACAATCACCACAATTAAAGGCAATCTAAAAAATCAAAATATTTGTAACCATATATTAGATAATGCATTAATATCCAAAATATAGAAGGAACTCTACAATTCAATAGCAAAAAAAAAAAAGTGGAGGACTTTAATAGACATTGTTTTCCCAAAAAAGACATAGGAATGGCTAACAGTACCTCAAAAAATGCTCAACATCACTAATTATCAGGAAAATGTAAAATCAAAACCACAATGAGATACCACTCACACCTATTAAAATGGCTATCACCAAAAAGGCCAGCGATAACACATGCTGATGGGACTTGGAGAAAAGGGAACCTTGTTCACTGTTAATGGGAATGTAAATTATTAGTGCAGCCACTATGGAAACAGTATGAAGTTTTCTCGAAAAGTTAAAAATAGAACTGTCATAGGATTCAGCAATTCCACTTCTGGGTATTTATTCAAATAAAACGAGATAACTGAAGATATAGCTGCATTCCTAAGTTCACTGCAGCTTTATACACAACAGCTAAGAAATGGAAACAACCTAAGTGCCCACTGATAGGTGAATGGATAAAGAAGATGTGGTGTACACACACACACACACACACACACATTTAAATATGTAGGCATATATATACACACATACACATAATGGAATACTATATATAAATAATGATATGTATGATAAACTATTATTTAGCCAAAGAAGAAACTCCTGTCTCTTTTGAGAACATGATAGAATTTGAAAGCATTATGCCATGAAATAAGTCAGTCAGAAGCACAAATACTGTATGATCTCACTTAAATGTGGAATCTGAAAAAAAGCCAAATTCATAGGACAGAATGGAATGGTGGTTGCCAAGGGTTGGGGGAGGAGGAATGGGCAGATATTAGTCAGAGGGTACAAATTTCCAGCCATACGATGTATAAGTTCTGGGGATCTAATATTCAGTACAGTGAGTATAGTTAACAATACTGTATTATATATTTAAAAGTTGCTAAGAGAATAGATTTTAAATGTTCTCAACACACAGAAACACACACACATGCAGACACACAATTATAATTATGAGGTGATGGCTGTGTTGACTAACCTTATTGTGGTAATCATTTTGCAATGTATAAGTGTGTCAAATTATCATGTTGTACATCTTAAGTGTACACAATGTTATGTGTCAGTTATATCTCAATAAGGCTGCAAAAAAGATAAGAAAAAAGTGGGCTACAAAAATAAAAAAGGAGTAAAAAAGACATATACAGCAATAATGAATATAAAAAGGAAACTACATTCTTTAATTTTGTGTGTGTGTGTGTGTAAAACACATAACCCTAACCAAATTTCTCATGTGATATCAGATCATCGGCCATCTATTCTTTTTTTGCATGGAAAAGACAACATTTTACCATACGAGAAATATGATTCATTCAAATTTCAAATTTCAAATTGAGCCAACATCAAATGAACAGTCATAAATAGCAGGTACTTTATAAACATCAAATGCATAGTTATAAATAGCATGTAATTTATAAGCCATTTACATTTGATCTTCATGAATATCAAAAATCATTTGCATTAATTTTACCTTCCTGTTTATAATTTTGATTAGGTAAATAACAGGGTAACTTTGTATCTTTCCAACAATACAATAATTCTAAGGTAAAATAATAAATACTTAAAAAATCTATCATTTATGTATTTTTACCTTTTAACAATACTTGACAGCTCTTCTCTGCCTTGATTTTCACCAACTCTATGTACAAGGTAATGTATCATTATCATTTGACAGAAGATGAAGTCAAGGCTTAAGGCAAGTGACTTGACCAAATTCACATTCTGTGGCAGAGCTGGCATTAAACTCAGATCTGTTTGACCCCAACTTGTTAGGCTCTATCAACACAGCTGCCTTTAAGTCTTTACCTCTACCATTATTTAAATAAATACATAGTTTCACCTTAAAGACATTCTTAAAGACTCCAGTCTATATTATTCTTTAAATATTTCATTATAAGTAGAACTCTCTCCAGCATTTTCTCATAAGTAATCTCGGTCTGAGATCACTGTTTCATTGGACATCTTGTCCTCCCTGCTCAGCTGTAAGTTCACTATGCAGAAGGAGGGTGTGGCAGAGGGAGTTTCTCTGAATCTGGGACAGTGCTTCTTGGTGGACAATCAAGGTCATGATCATTCTGTTATAACCCCTTTATTCCATGGCACAATTATCAAAAGTAATGGAAAGCGCCTGTGGAAAATATTTTGATGATGAAAGAATTTTAAAATTAGCTTTAAATACCAAGGAACCAAAATAAAAAACAAGGGATGACATAGAAAAAAACCATAGAGACCAAAAAGAAGTTGTGAGGGCTGTAGGATAGTTTTATTCATCTTTAGCCAGCATCTGGTATGAGTGAGTACATGGGAGAAGAAAAGGGAATTAACAAACACCAAGTTGTACTCTCTGCCAGATCTGTGCAATACATCTTACATACGTCCTTTCATTTGCTTTTCCCAACAAGCCATTTAGTAGGGAACAATATCTCCTTTTTCACACACTCGTGAAGGTGAGAAATTAAATAATTTTCTTGTGTCCTCAGATATTCAGCCGTGGAGTTGTCATTTGGACCTAGGCCTGTATATCCAACATTCATAATGTTACTACTGTATTATTTTGCCTATTCTAAGTATCTGTTGAACTGAAAATTTGGAAGTAGATCTTTATTTACAGAATGAACCCTTATTCAGCAATCATAGTGATATTCCATGAGATAGTGTATATAATATAAATCCAGTTTATACCTTAAAAGGAGGCAGGTGTAGATATAGGCAAATTAAAAATCATCATCCACATTTGCTCCTGTTTTTGTTTGTTTTTATTTATTGTTTTATTTATTTTTTATTTAAAATTTTTTTTCTTTATTGATTTTTAGAGAGAGAGGAAGGGAGAGAGAGAGAGAGAGATAGAACCATCAATGAGAGAGAACATTGATTCGCTGCCTCTTGCATGCCCTCCACTGGGGATCAGGCCCACAACTTGGGCGTGTGCCCTGGCCAGGACTCGAACTGGCAACCTCTTGGTGCATGGGTTGATGCTCAACCACTGAGCCACACCGGCTGGGCTTTGTTTATTTTTAACATTTAACAAGGAAGCATGTCTAACAGGTAAGGGCTATTTTATTCTCTGACATATGGAGTTGTATTTAGCAGAAATGTGGGCTGTGGCTTTTCTCCTAAATATTTGGGGATTGAGGAAAGTTCAATGTAGAAGGGAAAAAGGAGAGACTAAAGAGGTAGGGAGAGAGATTAACAATTCACACCGGACGATTTTAAAAAAGAAAATGTGTTCTATGCCTACATTAATAGCAAAGAAGTTCTAAGAAATACCTCCTACTGAAAAATAAGTGTTTTTTCTGGCTTTAAAAATGTTGATGAACATGAGTATGATACTTCGATGCATCCTTCATATGGTGTATAGGACACATAAACATCCCTTCCTCTTGGGCTTCGGATTACTTTCATTGCATTTCCTCCATATTGATACCTGTCCTACTAAAAACATGTGCAAGTGCTGGGGCAGCACCAGGGAAGAAGCCATGGACTCTGTCTGGGAAGACAGAGGAGATTTAGGGAAGACTTCGCTGTAAAGAAAATATTTGAGAGGGATCCAGAAGGATAAGAAAAAGATGATCTAGAAGGTTATAAAACAAAAACAAAAATGCCATTTCTACTGGCTCTCTGGGTTGAAGTATTTAATTTCATATTCACTATTATCATTTTTGCTCAAGTTACGAGATTTCCATTATAGTCAGCTAGAGAAAACAGTAAGGTGTAGTGGTTACATGACATGGCTCTAGATCGAGACTGGCTGGGTTTGTACCCTGCCTCCGGCACATGTAATTACTAACTTCTCTATGCTCTTACTCACTTAAAAATGTTGCTAACTTAGCCCTGGCTGGTTTGGCTCAGCGGTTAGAGTGTTGGCCTGTGGTCCAGAGAGACCCAGGTTTGGTTCCCGCTAGGGGCATGTGCCTTGGTTGCATGCAGTTTGTCCCCGACCCTGGTTGGGTCGTGCGGGTGGTGGCCACTTGATGTGTCCCTCTCACTCACTCTCTCTCTTCCTCCCACTCTATCTAAACAACGACAACAACAACAACAAAAAAGGAAAAATGTCCTCGGGATGAGGATAAAAAAAAAATTGCTAACTTATGCCCCAGGTGGTTTGGCTTAGTGGTTAGAGTGTTGGCCCACAGACTGGAGAGTCCTGGGTTTGGTTCCCACTAAGGGTATGTACCTCAGTTGTAGTTCGTCCCTGGCCCCAGATGGAGTCGTGTGGGTGGCAACCACTCTATGTGTCTCTCTCACGTCCATGTTTCTCTCTCTCTCTTCCTCCCTCTCTCCCTCCTGCTCTATCTGAAGATAAATGCAAAAATGTCCTCGGGTGAGGGGAAAAAAAAAGTTACTAACTTATGTAAAGGACATATAATAATTCTTAGTATATACTAAAGTTATTATTTTATTTTATTTGTTTATTTACTTAGAAATATTCTGTCCCACACTCAGAATGAGTCTTGAATAACTACAGAATCAATGTAGAACTATACCAATTAAAAGACTTGATACAGACTAGGTACTCAAATTTATATATAAGATTTTCTGCCCCTTTGACCTTAGGTAAATACATAATTTTTTGACTTAATGAGATCATTATTATATAGTGAAAGAAACATATTAATTGAAAAGAAATGCATGGCTTAATTATAAATACATCCTACCATCACATTTGCTAGATCTGCAAAAGTGAAGCCATTTAATATGGAGCTAATACTAAATATGTAAAGTGTATACTCAGTCTGGAATCTGTGTCTTTCAAATTTTGAGTGTCAGGATATCTGAGAAGTATATGTCTTATATAAAATTAATGCACAGTAGAATAAAATTCTCACCTCTGTCCTATTCCGTGTATTTCACGGCATTAATTTTAGAGTGTTTTCAAATTAATCTAAATTCTTTCTTATAGTATTCTGGATGGGTCCATCCATTCATTCATCTATCCATCTACCCATCCATCCATCCATCCATCCATTCATCCATCTTTGCAGCAAATATTTATTCGTCATCTTCTACATGCAATGCAAATGTGTAGGCACTGGGAATTAAATACTAAATAAGATAGACATAGCATTGCTAATGGTGTTTATAGCATATCATTGAGTACTGATAACTAGAGAAACAATCATATGAAGAGAATTTGATCACTAGGATAGTAACCATTTTCTTTTGAATCACACACTTCTCTTACAGACTCTGCATGAAACAGAAGTATTTGAGTGAGTTTCGTGGAACACTTTCCGGGGTACATATGGGTAGATGCTGCTGTTAGAGATGTTTCATTTGTAAGAGGGACGGTCTGAAGTAAGGAGATAACATGCTCATGGGGAAAGAAGTGGAAGGGGGAAGGCTCACAGGAACGTGCCGCCGCAGGTTGGTCGGTGTGCTGGATGGAGAGGAGCTGGTGCTGAGTGCGTTCTCAATGTCCTGGTCAAGCTGGTCCAGTTTCATGATGAGCAGCACCATCGAGTCCAGCCGCGCCCTATCCCGATCTTCTTTTATTTCCTGAGGAACAGAACATGTTGTTATGAATCTGAAAGGCCATTTCTTGGAAAGAATAAGAAGTGCCCTGTTCTTCAATGTGACAAAAAGGACACTGAATAATAGGCAGTCTTCTACTTCAGGGAAAGGGAAGTTCTGTTCTGTATCATCAATGGGCTCTTCACTGGGAAGACACTAACCCACTGCCAAGAAAGCATTTGACATGAATATTAAATACATATCTTCTGGAGCAACGCACAATAAAAAGGAAGTCTAACATCGATGAGCACTGATACATATTTACGACCTTCCAGTGAATTATTCTTGGGAAAAGTTATATATTACTCTTGTCACAGTACAAACCAATTACAACATAATAACTAAATTATTTGTGGTTAGACATTTAAGGATACATGTAAGGGGATATTTTTGGAAGAAATATAAATAAATAAATAAACATATTTCTGAATATAGTAAAAAATTGAAAAAGAATCAAATGAGGCAGGTTTTCAGTTTGTGTAATGGGCAGTTTCTGGTTTTGTTTTGTTTTTTTGTTGGTTTTTTTTTTTTTTTTTTTTTTTTTGCATTTGGGGTCATTTTCCAATGCTGCTTCTAGCTGTTCTTGTCAATATTGTTTTGCAACCTTCTTTTTCTTTCACAAACTTTTGAAAAAAGCCCACACAATTATATATTTTTTTTGTAAATTATGTTGGTTACTCATTCTGAATTCTCTATAAGATAGACATATATTTATGGAAATACTGTTGCTTATAGAAATAGCTCAAGTTTCTCATTTACCATATAGTTATTTGGGCATGACTGTTATTCTTGTGTATTCAAATCAAGTCAATTGACATCAGAAATCTTACAAATTCCTTGTGTGCTAGTAAGGTATCAGAGTTGGGTAGGGTATTGGTGACAAAACAAACGAACATATAATGAAAAGCACTGTAAGACTCTATTGAGGAATGTAATGGACCCAGGGAGAGCTCCTTTGAGGGGAATCATTATTCGTGACTCATGTTGCCATCTTCTCATCTTTTTTTTTTTACCTAGGTAAATCAGTTTAGAAAGGACCACCAGTGGCAACCTCAAAGGGAAAATATATCACAACAGAATCCAAAAGGGTATCGGTATTAGGGGGCAGGTTGGGGCCTTTGCTTAGGTGATGGTATAAGTAGTGAGATGAACGAAGTAACTATCTGAATCAGGTCTTTTGTTTTTGACATTTTTTTCTTTAATCTTCCTACATTTCCAAGCCAGCGTTAGGAGTAAACACAAAAGAATAAGGACTAGGGCAATTTCGTGGATTAATCTAATTCTGTAGGGGCCTCTGTACCTCAAACAGCTAGTACAGACTGTTACTATTACAGAGCATTATCTTTCAGATGTCAAATAATTGACTTACTAGATGAAGTTGGTCAAAGAATCATCAGGTAAGCTAATATTGGTTAAGTTAAACTTGTGCTTGATTAACAGACTCATGTCAAACTGGACGAGCTAGTACTCTTTCCACAAAGGCATTAATTTTGAGAATGAATTGAGAAATTTTTGTGTTATAGCAACTCCTTTAGAATACTATGCTGTGATTATTACTTCAATTTCTTTCCATTGTCCCCACTTCTGAAACACGTGAAGAGGCTCAGACAGAGAATTACAGAACTCTTGTCATCATAAAGTTTTAGTGTGTTTAAGAGGGTCCAGGATATATGCAAACAAACAGACCTGAACTTCACCATACGTCATATCCCTTACTGCTGTAGAAACTTGTCATATTCAAAAGAGCATTATTTGTAGTGAAATCCTGCTTATACCTTAAAATAGAGTCCCAGAAATAGTGGAGGTTATTCAGTTTAATTCTCTTCATGATAATCCAGAAAATAAAAAATTCTGACTGAATAGAAGACTCAAAGTTCCCTTAATTATTCCTCCAATGTGCTTGCTTGTATAATTTCCTTCTCTCTTAAACCAAAGTTGTTTGGAAAGATAATGTTCTTTGCATGTCTGCATTCGCATAAGTTTTTGTGTGATTTTCTTTTGTTTCCCAGTCGTAACATCCTCAAGCATGAATGTTATATTTTTCTACCTGGCAGACATAGAGTTAAGTTACACACTGCACATGCAAGGTGCTTTCAGGAATAATAATAAAACCAATAGGAACCAGTGAAATAACACCCCCCAAAGCCTTAGAAAACATATTTAGATATTTTTTAGCTACTAAATTGGACAAAGCAGTATATCCTGCAGCAGTAGTCTCAGAAACAATTTGTCTTTGAATTAACTGGATACTGAGATTGTGCCTCAAAAACACTTTTGAATTCATGGGCTAAACACCAAATGATTTCAAATGATCTTCCCAAAGAAATCAAATCAAACAGCCTTGGTCTACAATATTTTTTTTAGAGAAATAAGGCTATTGTTTTTGCTTTTCCTTCATGCTACTTTTCCTTAATCACCATTCATTATGTTCAGCCTGAAGTGTCAAGTACACAGGCCAGAATATGTTACATACATAGCCACTAAACTTCACCAAATAGAGTTGACTACAAATCAGATGCTATTGTCCTTGTTTTTAAAGCCCACGTATTAATAATTTGCGAAGTTCTAACCTTTCATATGTCCATAGCTAAACTCCAACAAATAGCTTATGCACTTGCAGATTTTGGCTACTTTAACTTCTACAGTGGAGTTTTCATGTCATGCTCTCATTATGGTCCATGAAGAGAAACTAACTTCGTGAGAAGCAAAGCTGCCTATTAATGAACTTCTCACTATTTCAGTAACTTAGCCCCCTAAATCAAGACCAAGATGCCACATTCTCTTCTCTCCTATCTTTGCTTCCTCCTCTCCTGTAGTCACAGCTGCTCCAGGCAACCACTATTAAAGGGATGCAATATTCATCAGTGAGTAGCATATACAATTGCTGCTTTCTTAAATATTATAGTCAACCATGAGAAGATGAACAATGAGAGTTAACATATTCATAAATAAGACACATGTATGAAGACATTAAAAAGGGTAATAAGATACGCAGTAACTGCGGGGTGGGGGAGTTTCCCACTTTGTATAGGGTAGTCCGAGTGCTTTCTGAGGATGTAGAGAATAGAAGGAGCTGGAGCTGGAGATGGAAATGAAGGGGTGGGGGGAGAGAGAGGAAGAACTCACAAAATAATGATCCATGCAAAATAAATAGTGAGTTTGGTGAATAAGATCAGAAAAAAAGGGTAGGGCGGCTGAGAGAGGGAAAGTGAGACAGTGAGTGAGTGCTAGGACTACATGGGGTTGACTACAAACAGGAGCCAAATTATATTCTGTCGTGAAGGTTACTGTAAAGAGGTCAATTTTATTCTTTGTGCAATGGGACACTGGCAGGATGCAAGCAAATGAATGATTTACTTTTTTTAAAAAAGTGTATTTTTAAAACTTTTAGAGTTGTCAGCACATATTGACAATTAAACATTTTTGGAACCTCATCATATTTTATATCCAGTCATGTCACATGACTAACACATGCTAAATAGTTCAATTCACCCTAAGATTATTCTTCCATTTCTAACCATAGGCCATTTTATGCTGAGTCTGAATTGGACCCACATTACAGGATAAGAAAGAACAGAGCCCCAATATTTTGAATAATTGTGAAAATAAGAAGTTATTGTTTTGGGAACCTATTTAGTAGAAGTTCGCAGTAGGGGGGCAGTAATATGTTGGTAAATGTATAGCAACTGGATCTCAAGTCCTGATTTGTAACGATTTCTGTGGTGTGAAGACTCCTATGGCCGATGTTCAGCTACTAATTTCACATCATTGAATGCAAAGTTGGAAGAGATGCACCTGTACTGAATTATTGCATTATATTTATTTAATGCATTTAATTCCCTTAAGTTTTGTTCTTGTTGCACAGGCAGAGTTCAGTATAAATTGTAGATTTCAACGTCGTGTTCTTCCGGAGAATTCTCTTTTTTTCTAGTAGTGCTTTCTTTATCTGTCTTCCTTGCTATCCATTATTTATGTTTGTAGAATTTCTTAAAATTCATTATAATAAACTTTTTATATTTGTATTTTTACTTATGTAAGTCAAAATTTGTTTCTTTAGGTTGCTCATTTTGTCACTTGGATACTTGATTCAACACTTAAGACTTTAGAAATCTAATCGTCCAGGACACCAGTTATCGGTTCCAGTGTCCTGACTTTGCAGGTGAAGGAAGTGGATTCCAGAGGGTTAGGATCACTCCTCTATTGACAAATTGATTAGACCAGAGCCCAGTTGTCCCCACTCCCTGTCCTGGTTTTCTTCAGTACTCCTTTCTGCTTTACTTTTGTGGATACAATTTTTAATTTAATAGACATTTAAGCTTCATTTATGCTCTCTTCAACCTGGTTCCCATTCCTTCCAAAACCTGTTTCAGAAGAACACCAATGACCACAATTAATTGCAAAATCCCTTTGAAACATCTAGTCTAATACTTAACAATTATTCAAGATATGTTTATTGCCCATCTGCCATGTGCTATGTATTATTCTCTAGGAAGCAACCCATTTCATATTTGTACTATTATACTTTTTAGAAATGTTATAAAGTCAAATTCTGCCTTCCTCTAACTCCCCAGAAATTCCTCCCTCCAGAACCACATAGTATAAGTAAGGTCTGTTTCATGAAATAGCCTTTCAAATATTTGAAAAACTATGTTACATCCACTTTTTCCTATTCTAGGTGAATCATCTTCAGTTACTTTGATGACTTTGCCTATGACATGTTTCCAAATCCTCATTAGCTTTGTTAACTCTTCTCTGGATATGACATAATTCTGTCAATGACCCAAGTAATGTTTGGTGCCCAGATTTAATATATTACTCTATGTGTTCTCTGACCAAGGCAGAGTAGGCAAGTACCTCCCCATGTGGTACACCCTCTTTAATGAAGACTAAGAATTAAGTGCCTGTTTAGAACATGAACAGGCTATTCTCACTGGGAGAGCCACAATCTGCTTTTTAAATAAAGAAACCATATTTAGCGGACTATG